GTGCGAGTCCGCCGGGAGTGGGCGGGGCCGGGCGACGTGCAGCGTCCTTTCTTTCCCCTTCCGGGTTCCGTTTCCGCCATCTTCTTCCGGTCCCTTCTCCTTTAGGCACCGGTGGGGATTTCCTGTGGGTCGTTTGCGGCGCAAAAAACTTTAAAAATAAAAATATTCTCCTCACCTGTAATTTCCCTCTCTAGGCTACGTATCATTGTTTTCATTCTAGCTTTTAAGCTTTGTGTTAACCTCGGTGTTTTTTTTGTTTGTGTCTGTGTTGTTGTTTTTTGCAGAAAAATATGTCCTGGGGCGTTTCCCGGTTTTATACTTAGTAAACATTTGCCTAAAACCGTAAATTCCTGTCCTTCCTTTTAAAATAGGAACCGCTTTCCCGTTTGTTTAGCGCATTCACCGGGAAGGTTCAGATATTTCTGAACTCGAGGTCTTCCCTGTGGGAAAACATAACTTTTTTAACGTTCATCATTTTTAGCTTGCCATTAAGATGCTTTATTGATTCTCTAATTTAAAAAAAATTTTCCAACAAAACATCTTTCATATGAGGGACTTTTAGGGGCTTCAAGTCAAACTCCCCCCCACTCCCGCCCCCCCAACACACACTCCAATTTCCGTGTTCACATCAGGCGTCATTTTTTTTTTAAATTGTGCAGGTTTGGCAAAGTTTCACCACCTTTAAAACGGCAGTTGGGCCTTGCTCCGCCCTGGGTGCCCCGTGTCTTCCTCTCCCTTTGCTCTCGCAGTGAAACGGATTACTCAGCCGCCTCCCCAATGTCTCCCCAATGTTCCCCCCAATTTCTCCCCAATGTTCCCCCCTTGATGCCCCTCAGGTTTACCATGTGACGCCTCCTGTTCTGGCTTCCCTTTTCCTTTTAAAAATGTCCCCCAAACTGTAATTCAAAGGCTGGAAATATGGGGTGTTTTTTTTTTCCTGTAAAGGACCAGATATTACATATTTTTATTTATTGATTGATTTCAGAGAGGGAGAGGGAGAGAGACACATCAGTGGTGAGAGAGAATCATGGGTCCGCTGCCTCCTGCACGCCCCCCCCCACTGGGGATGGAGCCACAACCCCCGCCTGTGCCCTTGACTGGATTCGAACCCGGGACCCTTCAGTGCGCAGGCTGACGCTCTGTCCACAGAGCCACACCGGCCAGGGCCGGTGTTGCATGTGTAGGAGGACCTCCTGGTCTCTGTGCCAGGTGCTCACCTCTGCAGTGGCTCCGTGGAAGCAGCCGTGGGCCACACGTACCCGGAGGGCGCGGCTGTGATTCCAGCAGAGCTGTAGCCACAACGGCCTGATTTGATCAATAAAAAGGTCGTGTCCGACCCTGGAGGTTAATCTCAGCTCCTTGCTTATTCTGGTTAAACGACACTGTCGTGTATCCAGCCTCGGAAGTCATGTATATTTTGATTTTTGTTGTTAATTATTTTGAGTTTATCTGCATTCCGTGCTGTATGAGGAACTGTCTAAGCAATATGACAGAAGGTGGGGGGTGGGAGCGGCCAGGGAGAGGTCAAGGGGGGGAAAAGGAGACATGTAATACTTTAAACAATAAAGAATTTAAATTAAAGAATATTACAGAAGGTCAGGGGAAGGGAGAGAACCCCATCTGACATAAAGACACTATGGTCTGCTATACGGATTAGTTGGGTCTATTGTTCCATCACCTGGTATTTTTTTAAAGTATATTCTTTTTTTTTTAAAGAGGAGATATGTTGGTGGTAGTGTTAAAGAAATAATTCAGTGACAAAGATGGGAAGGCCGACTGTATTCAGGACCATTGTAATAGGTACAGTGGCCAATGCAATGGGGTTTTACAGTAAAGGAGAGAGATTAGGCTCAATCCCAAATATGGCAAAGGCAAGTGAGAATTGATAGCCAAGGAGTAGGGGTGAGAGTCAGCATATAAAATGTCACTAAGCCTGGCCAGCGTGGCTCATTGGTTGAGCGTTGACCTATGAACCAGGAGGCCAGGGTTCGATTCCCGGTCAGGGCACAGGCCCGGGTTGCAGGCTCGGTCCCCAGTGTGGGGCGTGCAGGAAGCAGCCAGTCCATGATTGTCATCATTGGTGTCTCTCTCTCTCTCTCCCCATCCCTTCCTCTCTGAAATCAATTAAAAAATATATTTTTAAAAAACAGAACAAAAAAACATTACTAAGAGGAAAGAGGAGTAAGAGAGGTTCTGGCAACATCGACCTAACAGGATTCCTGCTGAAGGCAGATTGGGCTCATCAGACACAAACTGGGGGGAAGAAGGAAGAGGAGGAGGAGGAGGAGGAGGAATTTGATTAGATATTGAGGATGGTCAGTCATCTGGGGTGGGAGTCTCTGGCAAAGAAAGTGCCTTCGCAGGGTTCTTGCTAAATTAGGTTTTATAAGGAAGTGCATGCTAGTAGCTGGGACGAAGGGGAAGTTTCAGGGGCCTGACTAGAAGTTTGGTCAGGCAAACGTTTTTGTCAGTAACCAAAAAGAAAGAAGATGGAAAAGAAAAATAGTGTAATTTTATTTTTCAGTTAAGGAAATTCTCTGATACCAATGATTCCAGAAATTGATCACTGCTGTACACTACCACTGTTCTTTTTGAAATAGATTATTTTATTGATTGATTGATTTTTTAGAGAGACAGAGGAAAGGGAGAGAGAGAGAGAAAGAGAGAGAGAAAGAGTTGCTGTTCCACTTATTCATGCATTCATTGGTTGATGTGGTTAGAGGGTAGAAAGAGAGAAAAATAAAAATAATGAGGGGTTGGCCCCACGGTCTTGGAACTACAACCCCTCCCAGTGGAGGAGAAAGTTTTCCTACTCATTGTTTTTTTGTGTGACCTCCCTTAGCTGCCGCTGTCACCATGACAACAGGGAGATCTCCTGATTTGGGAGGGAGAGATTGGAGAAAAGCAAGGGTGGGGGAGGGAAACTGCGATCCCTGAACTTTTAATCCTCAAGCTCGAACGAGAGGGCTTTTCACCACCAGTACTCACTCACTTCTGGGTTTCTCGATGCGTTAAGTTCAGGCTAGGAGATACACACAGGACAGAAAAGAAAATGCAGCGCCAACTGTTTCAGTAGTTCCTTTAAAAATATATATTTTATTGATTTTTTTACAGAAAGAAAGGGAGAGGGATAGAGAGTTAGAAACATCGATGAG